CCTTAAGGATTTGCAGTAAAAAGAAATACAGACACAATATGCTACGCTGTGACTTTTAAACTGCTGTGGAGTCTGTAAAAGCATTGTTTAAGTATGCAGCATACTTTTCTTTGATTCCATATACTGAATTTAACACTGGCTTTTGTCATTGTACCTTCAGTCCTGTTGTGTTTTCAGTTCAGCAGTTTCCTCCTGTGGCCTTCCCACTGAGGCAGGGCTCTCCATCTTCTCCCTCTTTACTTTCTGTCTTCTTTCTAACTGAGTGGACATGCATCCTTCTCCTCCTCGGCTACACCTCTGCTATCAGCAGCTGCACCAAAGCCCTGTGTGATGTGAAGTGAGACGCTTGCATACTAATGGAGCAGAAACAGGATGTCTCTCAGGCAGGCCAGCACAGTGAGGACATAGAGGAAACATCAGGCAGCACCACTTAGCTTTTCAGCTCCACATTATAGATCTGGATTGAAACCATTTGTCTTGGAAACTATAGCTTTGATGTAGAAATCTGAGTACTTACTGTATCATTTTAATATGCTGATGATAAAAGAGTCACACATATGGACATATGTGTGAGATATGGTTGTGTTTACTGGTCGTGGTGTAATCTCAATATTTTCAAGCGCATATGGCTTTCACATGGGTTCATGCTGCAGTCACCTTGTTGCACCAGTGGAGGTTCTCATTGGCATATTCCTTAAGCTGCCTGATGGCACTAATAGCTGTCTTCTCATGTCTTCTCATTTGGTTATGAAACAGAAATGCCGGTGGCATAGCCGTTGCCATGGTGATGGCATGTCTGTGAGCCTGTTGTACGGCTGCTGATTCAGAAACACTGCTTACATTTTGCACCCAGTGAAAAGGGCCCCAGAAACAGACGGGTGAAAGCATCACCTCCTGTGGAAAAATGATGCAGCGTGCTATCAAGTGAGGTTCCTCTTGGCTGTGCCACTGGTACGTGGTGAAGTGTTGTATCAGCAGTGTTGTGTCTAGACTCTTAGAAGGTGTAAAAATCAAACGAACTGAAATTACTCCACAACAACCTAAGCGACGTCATTTTGATTATGTCTTTTGAAGTAAGGAGTCTTTTTGACTATTTTCACTAAAAGAGTGACTGCCACCTGCACAATACCTGGGCTGAACAGATCTAAAGAGAAATGACAGAAATAAGCCTGCGTTTGACTGCAGGCACTGACGATTTCTCCCGTCTTGTAAACACATTCGTAAAGCGTTAGCAGGAAGCAGACAAACCTCATTATGTCCCATAATTACATCTTGCTACCTTGTTTTGAACCTAAAGCCGGTGATCCTCTTCTATGCAAATAGAAATATTAGCTACTTTAGATGTATACAGTAGTGATACCAACAGCAGTTGTGGAATGGATGTGAGTGTGTTTTATATGTATAATGTGTACTTTGATTAAATCCTCATAAGGATTGGGTGAGCAAAGAGAGTAAATCCGCCCTGCTGGCGCCTTCAATTCAGACAGTCAGCTGGATAATGCCAAGCTGTTGAAGGATTTTTCTGTCTCCTTCCAGTAGTCTGTGTATGCATGCATGTCAAAATCAGGGAGTGGAATAAGGAAGGGTTAGGGGCTGATGGGATGGGACAAAATGTGTATTTTGTAAGGAGTGAAGAGATGGGTGCAGTGCAGATACCATGTAAGCATGCATTTTAAATTATGCCCCATACAGTGTCTTGGCTGCCTGAGAAAAAGAGATTAGAATAGATTTTCATGATACAGGTGCTGGGAAACAACTGGTGTGGCCCTGAATCGGCAGTCAGAGTATTGGTCTCGGCCATAATCTCTATTGCATCCCTGAAAACAAGACTTCATAACATTGTTTTCCCCAAAAATGTCTCTCCCTTTTGGTTGTGATCTGTTGCCGTTTCTGTCATTTGTTGAGGAGTGTAGCCAGAGCTTTAAGGAAAAATAAAATAAGCAAAATGCACTATTGGTCCTTTAACGGAGATACAGACATTAGTAAAGCAATGAGAAAGTGGAGTTGGTTAATAAATCAAAAATATATTTTTAAGATTGTCTGCAACAACACACACACTGTATGGAAATTGATTTATGGTTGACAGAATGTGTATTAAAAAAGATACAACATATGCATGATGTGGTTGTTTAGGTATAAACTAGAAATAATTTTACTCTTTAGACACAGCAACAGAGTAGCAGTGGACAAGAGGTCAGAGCAGCATGGTGTATAGCTGATCAAGCACTGGGCCACAAAAGCTTGATGTTATGAACAGGTGGGAAGCCACTCTAGCCACTTCAGTGAAGCTGGTCTGTGGCCAACAGCAGGTATCTGCGGGTAAACTGGGGAGGGCGTAAGTATGAATTTGTGTACTGCAGTGATTATGAAGCAGGCCGTCAGTAAAAAAGAACATATGTGCTAGGCAAATCTTCCTTGGGTCAATGAGGTCAACACGTACACACAGTGAGAGATAGGTGGGAACGGATGCAGATCCCCATAGTGCTGCCAGGCTGCCAGAAACCTGGTGCCAGGTGTCTGAGTTTTATGGCCTCAGCATGAAAGCAACGATTTCTCCGCCTGTCTCCTCCAATTTAATACCCGAGCAGCATGACACATGGAAGGGGAGAAAGACAGACAAAAGAATTATAACCGAATAAATCTTTACATACCACGGCACAATATATCTACAGTAATTAAATTGAACAACATATGAATGGATTATCTGAGAGCGATTCTGCATGTTCATCATTTACAACCAGGATCTATGAATAGAGCCAAGAGAAGGTGGAGGTCACTGCTGCCACACTTTAGTCACACCGAGGGAATCAGTTAGATCAGTTCATGTGTGACTGGGTTATTGCAGAGATCAGCCACCTGATACCAGGCACCAAATCATCGTTACTTACAGAAATGAATACTTAAACACTTTCATTTCTGCAGAGTCTTTCATCTATTTGATTGTATTTAACTTGTTGAAAGCTATATTTGCAGTGAAGTGCCAGCCTTCTGGTATGTCTAAATTTCTATACACAGTGTCATAATGTTGTTTTTCTGTATAGTATGGTGCTCCATTCTGTATTTGTCAAGGCTGCTTTTGTATTATTGCTCATGCAAATGTGAAGGAAAAACTGTGGGAAGGTGTCAACACATCATTGGGCGTGAGCAGTCGGCACATGAAAGGAAAGGGAAAACAATCTGTATCTATTTTATGTTAATATCAGAGGAACTTGTCAGTTTTGATGTGAAACAAAATTCACCCGGCTTCCTCTTCATGTTGCACACACACACAAACAAACACACACACACACACACAGAGACACACGTATATATAAAGTCTGGGTGCTCAGCCCCAGTCTGTGAGGATGAAGATAAATGTGAATTTCTGAGTGTTAGTCATAGCAGGAGCTGACACTGTGATGCTTAGCTTTAGTGAAAGAAAGCCAAGAGTCTCTCTTCCTTTCTCTATTACTACATCACCTATCACAGATACAGTATAATTTAGTTCCATCTGGTTGTTTATAGTGCAACTTTTGGCACTCACAAATAAAGCCTTACTTACATATGATAAAGCTAACAGAATATTGTCTTAGTTGTTATATTTGTAGTTTTTAAAAGAAAATTTAATTGATTATACAAGTGTTCAGTATATAGGGATTATTATTTTATCTCAAAAAACTTAACTCCCATGGCTCATATTGTCATATTTTGTGAAAATCTAGTTTGTGCCTGTCATCCTTACATACATTTGTAGGAGTTGAAGGCATCAAATTGACAAATGAAAGCAAAAGCATGAAGTATTTACAGTCTGTCACTGAGCTTCAGTCTTTCTTTGCTCCACTCAGTTTGACCAAACATGGATGTGTAAAGTAGCACAGCACATCTGCAGCTCATTTAAAAGAAATGACAAATACATTTTACATGTGTGCCACTGCCTACCATGAGCCTGTATCGTAAGCAGTGAGTGATTAACAGTGAAGAGCAATCACTCTCTGTATATTAAGCCTGTTGTGTAATGGGCTCACTGCCAGAGCCACCGGCTGTGCCCACTCCACACACTCGTTCAAGACGATAGCTGATACTAAGCTGGTATGCAGATAATCTAACCAACCCGGGGAGAAAAAACATGTCGGTAATCTCCAAGGAGACAGACACATTAGGGAAGCAGACCCAAATTAACTCTATCATCTTAGATACTGACAAATATACTGCATACTCTACAAATTTTGGCTCCTTCTCTCTGGTAGTTCATGTTGCTTGGTAAATGGACCATTTAGATGTGGGAATAGCTTGAGATTTCATTACTCTAACAGTAAATCTCTACATTGAAGCAGATATTGTCAGTACTTTTTACTTGACAAACTGCTTTTAGTTGTTTTTTTGTTTTTTTTATTGCATGAATGGTCTCAGTCACTTTTCTTTCAAGATCCAGAAGTAACTTTTTCTCAAACTTAGGCTTATTATCAAACTGTGTCTGGCTGTGTAAGAGCTCATTAAAAAGTAGGCATGAATGTCTATGCAATTGAAGGGCAACCAGATGAAATTGACGGATTCATTCTGCCCTGTTAGACACGTCAATTTAGTCCCCTAAATATCTGTGGGGGTGGCACCGTGAAAGTCTGCCACTTGCCTCATTTTTTAATCCTCTGCAAAGAAACAAGTATAACTCTGTTACTCCCTCGCTTCACTTTATTGAGCTGTTTTTCAGTTTCACTGTCATACATTTTTTTTGGCAAGCAGATAATCAAATTATATATGCTTTAACAATTGCATTGCTCTCTTTCTGTTTTTTTTTTTTCAGGTTTAAACCTGAAGGTGTGCTACACAGGGGAAGCTTGGACCAGATGTCTTTTGGGCCTGCTTTTTGCAAATACTGTCCTCTGGGTTAGAAATCACCATTCTGGACCTCCAGCAGTTAGCTATCAGCAAAGGAGACTAATGCTCATGAACCATCCCTTCATACCCTTTTCCCGAAAGCTGCCTCTCATCTAAGCCTTTTGTGAGCAGAGAGAGCAGACAACATGGCGCTCAGCTCTCAGCCGTGGCCTCCTCTAATCTGGCTCTGCATGGGATTGCTTCTTTCCTTTCTGTCACCAGTTCATGGCAAAGAATGTCCTCGTTTGTGTGTATGTGAGATTCGCCCATGGTTCACCCCACAGTCGACCTACAAGGAGGCAACTACAGTGGATTGCAATGACTTGAGGCTGACGCACATCCCTACCAACCTGTCAGCAGATACCCAGGTGTTATTGCTCCAAAGCAACGCCATCTCTCGCACCAGTGGAGAGCTGGAGGCACTGTTCAACTTGACAGAATTGGATCTATCCCAGAACAACTTCAGCACTGTGGAAGCTGTTGGCCTCACAAACATGAACCATCTGACCACTCTGCATCTAGAAGAGAACCAGATCAGTCACCTGCCAGACCACTGCCTGGGAAACCTCTCCAATCTGCAGGAGCTCTACATCAACCACAACCAGATAAGCTCCATTTCTCCCCGAGCATTTGCAGGCCTGCACAGCCTGCTGCGCCTGCACCTTAACTCCAATAGGCTCCATGTCATAGACAGCCGCTGGTTTGAAGAAACACCAAACCTTGAGATCCTCATGATTGGGGAGAACCCAGTTATTGGCCTACTTGACATGAATTTTAAGCCTCTAGTAAGCCTGCGGAGTCTAGTTCTGGCAGGAATGGATCTCACTGATGTTCCAGGAAATGCGTTTGTAGGTTTAGATAATCTGGAAAGCATTTCTTTCTATGACAACAAACTGGTCAGAATCCCTCAACTTGCCCTTCAGAAAGTCCCCAATCTGAAATTCTTGGATTTAAACAAAAATCCAGTTCACAAAATTCAGGAAGGAGATTTCAGAAACATGCTCCGTCTAAAGGAGTTGGGCATCAACAATATGATGGAGTTGGTGTCTATTGACCGCTTTGCTCTGGACAACCTACCGGAACTGACAAAACTGGAAGCCACCAACAACCCTAAACTGTCTTATGTCCACAGGTTGGCATTTAGGGACATGCCCTCCCTAGAGAGCCTGATGCTCAACAATAATGCTCTCACTGCCCTTTACCAGCATACTGTACAGATGTTGCCTAATCTGCGTGAAATCAGTCTTCACAGCAATCCATTACGCTGTGACTGCGTTATTCAGTGGATGAGTTCCAACAGGACCATAGTGCGCTTCATGGAACCCTTGTCCATGCTGTGCACCTCCCCACCAGAACTCAGAGGCCAACGGGTCCGAGAGCTAAGACTGCTTGAGTCCCTAGAGCAGTGTCTTCCCCTTATATCCCACGACACCTTCCCCAGCCACTTGAACCTCGAGCTAGGCATGAGTGTCAGCCTGGACTGTCGGGCGGTGTCGGAACCAGAGCCTGAAATCTACTGGGTGACTCCACTAGGGACCAAAATCACAATAGACACCATGTCAGAGCGATACCACTTGAGCAGTGAGGGCACTCTGCGGCTGTCTCATGTGCAGGTGGAAGATTCTGGTCATTACACCTGTGTAGCCCAGAACACAGAAGGGGCGGACACACGAGTCACCACCATCCGTGTAAATGGGACCCTGCTCGACAGTGCTCAGGTGATGAAAATCTATGTCAAGCAGACTGAGTCCCACTCCATCCTGGTCTCCTGGAAAGTCAATTCTAATGTCATGACCTCCAACCTGAAGTGGGCCTCAGCCACCATGAAGATTGACAACCCACACATCACCTACACGGCTCGTGTCCCTGTAGATGTCCATGAGTACAACCTCACACACCTTCAACCTGCAACTGAGTACGAGGTATGCCTCACAGTCTCCAACATCCACCTTCAGACACACAAGTCTTGCGTTAACGTGACAACACGTAGCGCTACCTTTGCCCTTGACCTGTCAGACCAGCACCCGAGTGCGGCTGTGCTGGTTGTCATGTCAACCATGCTGGCATTCCTCAGTCTGGCCACTGTGGGTGTCTACATGGCTCGCAGATGGAAGCGAAAAAACTACCACCACTCTTTGAAGAAGTACATGCTGAAGACATCCTCCATCCCACTTAATGAGCTCTACCCTCCACTCATTAATCTTTGGGAGGCTGATGGCGAGAAGGACAAAGACGGCAGCACAGAGGGGAAACCCTCTCCTGTCGACACCACACGTAGTTATTACATGTGGTGAGTATTCACTAAGGAGGCCTGACCGCCTCTCCAGCAGCACAAAAAGACACACTTTTGCCATTTTGGTGCAAAAGTCGAATAAAGTTGCAAATGTTTTTTTGTATTCTCAGCTTTGCTAATATGAGGCAGAGTGATCAAGTGCAGGATTTTTATTAGTATAGCGTATCGCCTTTGTTTGACTCTTTCTATCTCTTAATTGTTCTGGACTCTCCAAGATGGCAGCTGTATTTAGCCTCCAGGTTGTCTTAGTTGCTCTGCTCTGTTTCTGTGGTGCATTTTTGACTCACGTTCTTTTGGGTTAATTATACAGCAGCAGGGACAGATGGTCTTCTTGCAGCATTAGTACAAATCAATGTTTCTTTCTCTGTTTTGTAAAACAGTTAATCTGTTGTGCACTGATAGATAAAGAAGTTTGTATGAACTTCAGTTAAAAGCTGACAGCAGGATTTAGACTTGTTATACTGTCTACTGAATGTTAGCAATTGTGCAGTAATGTTGTATCAACTATACCTTTGAAAATTCTGATTTACACTGCAACAGAATTAGCATTTTAGTTTGCTGATAAATGTGATGTTAAATGCTAGAAATACAAATGTTTGTTAAAACCTTTCAAGTTTTTTTTGTATTATTATGATTATTATTATTAAGGTGCACTAGAAACTTTCTGACTCTTTTCCCATTTACTCATTTATTTGGCTAGAGTTTTAGAGTTTTTCGCTAATTGCTTAGTTTATTATTTTCTCATGCACTATGTATACTAAAGAAGTCAAAATAAATAAAATTTTGGTTCTTTTGCAGACATTTGTTTTTTTTTCTTCTTCTGGTTTTCTATATTTTTGGTTTAGACAAATACTCTCACTCTGTGGTGATACATGCTGAGACATTCTCAGAGCTCACACTGTGTCTGCTTAAATACATTGATAGATGTAATTTGATATGAACATGTGCTGCCCCCTGGTGGATGCTACACATTACAACTACACATTAAGCCTGTTTAAATATGATTATTACTCAAACTTAAATTTTTGCATATAATAAAAATAGTAATAATGAAAAATACACAAAGTGTTTTATTTTAAAAGCTTTTTTATTTTTTTCATCTGCATACATATATACACAAAGATAAGGCAAATGGGATCTCATGAGACCCCATGTGTTCGCAAAGAATTATACCAAAATATTTGGCAGTAATTTTACAGAAACATTACAGTGTCATTATACATTAAGAACTGACTTTTAATCTTTAGCTCAGTGAGTCCTATGACTGACAAGGACAACCACTAAAGTTGACTTTACACCTGAAAAGTTCTTTGACTCAAGCAGCAAGTCTCTGTCCACCTGTGGTCAAAGGTGCTAAAAGAACAAACTTCAAGAATTTTCTTTTTTACTTCAAATAAGAAAAGTCTACAAAAATATAAGTTATAAAATCGAAGAGTTTTGCAAGAGTCTACACTCATGGAGTGCTTTGTCTTTTTCTTGAAAATTATCTTTCGATGCAGGGTAATGTGATGGCAGCAAAAGCCTGTCCATCAAATTCATCACTCCATTCATGGGTTTACTCTGCATTCAATACTGGGGTTGGAGAGCAACTCGATTAAGAAAGTCTGTGTTTAAGACGAGCAGGTCAGGTCATCGTTGCTCCTGAGAAACACAGCGAAAACCAAGATTAGAGGCTGAGCTGTCCGGCGTGTTCTGGCTTCGAGCTGCACATCGATATCTGTAGCAGTAAGACTGCAGAAGGAGGGAAAAGAGAGGGGGGATTTATTATTTAATTTAAATCATTTTTATTATTAATGGAAAACTGTTTCGTCACCGATTTCTTATTGCTTTACGATCAAGGTTACTGTTATGTTTGTGCATTTTCGCCAGGACTGTTCTCTGCTCCCTCACATGGTTAAGTTACATGAAACAAATAGAACTCTGTGCTATGGACTTATTTTGCATGCAATTACTAACATTCCCATGGCAACCAATGGTGGCAAGCAAAGGGAAATGGAGGCCAGTGGGCGGCTATATATATATATATATATGCATGCAACCACTAGCACTGAAAAACTTCCATATACCCGGAAAAAAAAGAGAGAATAGCAGCACCTGTATTTTCTCATTGTTATTCAGCAACTGGGGCTAGAGAGCTGTTGTTTTCAAGGTTCACATCTTGCAAAAAAAAAACACCCAGAAAAACAGGATTGCTTTGCAAGGCTGAACTGTTTTGTGTTTTTACTGATCCACTCACTTAACAAGACCTCACAGCCGACCAAATCTACCCACCCAGTGAGATGATCATGACATACAACCTCAAATATACCATCAATCATTCAGACCGGTGTCTGAAATTTCATTTTGAATATCTAGACAATAAATATAATGTGTTTATGGTGAATAATTAGCATATTAGAGCTGAATGAGTTGTCTTCTTTACCTTGTGGCACATATATGAGCCTCCCTTTTTCACTTTGTCCGTGCCTGAAGGAGGACCCACCTGAGAGAGAGGACAAGGAGATAGTATAGAAAAAAAACAACCTAACCTAATGGCAGTCAATGAGAAGGCCTTAAATGTAATGTGTTTTTACTGGATTGTATTGCTGGTCTGTGGTGTGATGCACAGTCCACCAGTCTGAGGTCCACTCCCATGCGTTTCCCACAATGTCGTACAGACCAAAACCATTAGCAGGAAAGGACATCACCTGCAGGTAGGGGCACAACAATGTCACACGATTGTAGGTTCGGATGATGAAATTTAATTTAGAAAGCAGTTATTTCTTATTTCCTTTTCTCCAAGCATGGATGATAGAAGAAACCCTGGCTGGCTGTATATACTACTGTATGTGAGTGTTTGTGTGTTGCAAGAAAAGAGCACGTTACTCTGAGGTAGTTTCCAAGAAGTGACTCACAAATACAGAATTTTACTCGATCACTGTGTACAAGTGCACTTATGGAGGTCATCTACAGGGACAGGGACCATATATACCATATAGTGTGTATCACATATATCAAGGACAGGATGATGTTTTCAGACATCACTGAGAAAAGCTCAGTGGGTTTTACAGAGTGAAATGACATTAAAAATCTCTTTTTAAGATATTCTTTCCAGTTGTGAGTTTATTGCAGAACACTAAATACAAGAGTCAAAACTTGCCAACTAAAGGACTTTAACCCACATTTATTTTGCCCTATAATAATGATTATATTATCAGTGAGGCAGAAATGAACATATATTTTCAGCTACTGGGATCAGATAGATGCAGATTAAGTTATTTTCCTTCAGTGCCATTTAACCTTAAAAACTCTGAGTACACACATTCATGATTTGTACTAAAATTGGCACTTTAAAGCTCCCCTAGCAGTGAAAGAGATTGAATTAATATTGTCTGATGGTTATTCATAGGACCTCAAGAATCTGAAAGCTCCTGGTGTGATTTAATCAAATTCTGAAATGAGCTCTTTTCTTTAGCACCTTTCATTTCCTGTAAATTCAGTAGACAGGGCCTCTATAAATCTGTCAAGTTTTCTCCACCTTAACCTGAAATATGACATTGCTGAACACTAACGTAGTCATGGCATCTCTCCATCCTTCTCTGTCCGCCTTACCGGTGACGTTTTGACGTAGCCATCCTCTCCAGAGTTGTGTGTGGGAAAATCCCCCTGCCAGAGGTTGGCATAGTGTTGTCCTTTTGGGTTTAACTTGTTTCCCCAGGGGTAAAGTCTGCAGGATACATCAGGAAGTTAATTTCAGACATAATTTATGTAGAACACTGCACAAGTACATTGGCATAATGTGTAGTCTCATTATGACAAAGCATCTTGCCTGTCTTTCAGGCCACCCCGGCAGGCATACTCCCATTCTGCCTCTGTAGGGAGTCTCTTGTTGGCCCAGGAGCAGTAGGCAACAGCATCTGCCCAGGAGACATGTAGAACAGGATGATCCAGCCTAAACAAAACAGGTTTTAAGTCAATTACTGAGCTCTACTATAAATAAAAGATGAGTAAAGGTTTGCTTTGGGATTGCTATTGGCCCTTAACACAGATTTCTCTTTAATATATCTGGATGCTTTCAGTGTACATAGAGTACACTCTACCTGGCTGTGATGTTGGAGTCTGGACCCTCAGGGTGCCTCCAGTTGGCTCCTTTGACTGGAAGCCACCAGGGGGCAGCAGCCACCTGATAACAAAGTAAAAGTGGTTACTCACTGATAATAAGTTCCTCCCATGCTCTTGTTCTGGTTTTCCCTTACAAACTACCCTTAGGGGTCATGAAAAAAAGTCTTTACAGAATTGCAGTGAATGATATCCAGTGGTGCTGCACTAATGGGTACACAGCATCTTCTCAGCCACATGATCAAGCTGCACATGACAGCTGAGTTGAAACAGCAAATTCCCTGCTGCCTGGCTTTCGTCTGTGAGAGGCCCGTTGTGCTCAGGCCTCTTAACATCCAATCTTTGAACAGTCTTGAGACTCTTATATAGCGTAAATATAACTCTTCATGTCCATACAACTAAAAAACTTGTGACTTAAAGGTAGTACTTTGAGGGTTTCCAGATAATTGCACAGGGTACATGTGTCATTCTAAAAAGGTTCAAATACATCATGGTTGGAGGAAGTTCCAAATGACATCATGAACAGGAATAGACAAACAAATTTACAGGTTGAAAGCACTTCCTTACATGGCTTGTGGACCGTTTTACATCCCTCCTGAACTGGAAATAGGATTATTTCATCTTTTAGATAAATGCATCATTATAACTAAACCCTTTTTATTATTATCTGTATTCCATCACTATCTTGAAATACAGTGCCTGTCAAATTCTATCATTTCTAATCGCTATGATCATAGCAGCCTAGCTGACTAAAATAACAAAATCTGTCATAGCCATCTTTGCTGCATTCAGGTTACACTCTACTTTTACAAGCCTTCCAGTGCCTGCTGTTGAAAATCATCCCTACATCATGATGCTGCCACCACCATGCCTTATAGTCGGGATGGCATGTTTGTGATGATGTGCAGTGTTTGGTGTCCGCCAAACACAGCATCTAGTCTGACGGCCCAAAAAGCTCCATTTTGGTCTCATCAGACTATAAACCTTAGAGGATCCCACATGCCTTCTGGTGAACTCAAGTCAACACTTGTTACGAGTTCTTTGAAACGCAATAAACAGGGAAAACATCCAAGGAGGTGAAAACTTTTATAGCCATTGTAAGTCAACTGTTGAGTAAACACACTTACTGCTTGAGTGATTTGGCTTTTAACTGGCTCACTCAGAATTCCCTCGAATACAAATGAGTCTCCAAATTTCTCTGCCTAAAACCATAAAGATAAAAATATTATGAGTAATATGAGCCAAGATTATAATAACTGACAAAAAATATGTATGGATTAATCATTAAAACAGTAATTATTTGATACCTCAGTAACATAACCTGTGACACTGATGAAGCTCTGGAACTGTTGGTTAGTAACTTCCTGGATGTCCATGTAGAAGGAGTCCACGTGCACCCATCTCTGAGGACCCTCACCATCTGCAGGGATGGCTGGGTCATCTGTTCCCATCAGAAACTCTCCTCCAGAAATCCACACCATCTGTTAGCAGTAAATGACCCTAAATATCATCTATATTTTTTACAAGCAGAGAAACTATTCTATAAATCTATTCGATTTTAGAAGAAGAGAGTCACAGAATTAATAGAATAATAATAAAAAAAACAACAACCTAGAAATAATCTCATCTGATGACAACACAAAGACACGATACAGTTATAAAATCATGTCAACAGCAGTAAAACCTTATAAAAACATCTAAAAATGTAATGTATCATCAACCAAACTGTAAATCTAGATAATTCTGAATTATTATTATCCATTGTATTGGCTGTGTTCTTAGCAGTTCTTGACCATTTCTGTCAGCTGACGTCACGTACTTTCAATAGTCTGAGTATTGTGCGGAACTTGTTATCTAATATTGCCTTAGGTTTTCCAAGATACAGAGACCTGCTACACTCTGAGCTGACTCTGAGGCAAACGGCTTCACCAGAAAACTCTGACAATAACTTTCACTGTCTTTAAACAAGGCCAGAAACAATAATGCAATTAGTCAATTGCAGAACACACTGGAACATTGAGCACATACTAAGAATCAGTTGAGTGTAAGCTATAAATAATTGCAATAACAATTCTAACAAATAAAGAATTCAGCTTGGATCCTAGTCTACTAATATCAACCATAATGTCACAAATATGCAGTCACTCTCTGAACGGGTTTGAGACAGTTTAAACAACAGCTGGAGATTCATGTACAGGAAACAAAGGCTCATTTGTCTATTAAGTTTTTTTTCTTCAATGTTCTCATATTTACTCATCTTTTATTTTATTCAACACTGCACCACACTAAAGATGAGGATTATTAGAATTAACAACTATATTCCACATCTGGACAGAAATCTTGCTACTTTTAGTTCGAAATGACCTACAGTGCTGATCCGCAGATCCACGTCATTGCTAATAGTCCACATAGTCACTTCCTCCATGCATTTGTATACACTTTTGCATGTTATTAAAAGCGCGTCTTTTCTCTGCCATTGTTTGTGTTTTGTCCTCTCTGTTCTCTCTCTCCCTGCACCCCTCTGCAGGTATTTCTGGATCTGCATCAGTCTGACCTGGTGTTTGTGTTCTCCTGATAGCTGTCCATTAGCCCCTGCTTTCCTTTACTTTCTCCTTTTAAACCACCCCAACCAGTCGAGGCAGATGGCTGCCCTTTTAAAAGGAAGTTCTTTGCCTCCACTGTCTCCAGTGTGCATGATCATAGGCAAAATTTGGATTTGCTGAGTTTTCAATATACAATTTTGTATGGTCCTAACCTAAACTTTCTGCTGTATGTTCTCCTCAATGTTTCAGTAGCAGGAAAACTGACTTCTGACGTTTCACTGCTCATCCAAGAGGCTTCCTCAGTACTAACTGACTAACTGGGTGTCACAGATATATATTGTCACCTCTGTATTCCACAACTGATGGTCTGGTAACAACCTAAGACTTACATGACTCGAGGTGTTTATGGTTGTAAAACTACCAAGTGACGGATGATTTAAGATGTTAATGGTGGTAAAATTGCATTACAAGTGTCTGATGATAAGTCGTGTAGCAGACCCCCTCCTCTGTTCTGAGATGGCTGTTCAGTTTAACATAGATGTCTTCCTTCACTTCTCTCTCAAACCATCTCTACTCTTGCTCCAGAATGTCAAAAAAGTGCCCCTCATCCTCTAGATGCAGGTGGATGGTTAAATCTTGTCCTGTGTTGAGCCATGTACTCCCCTATAGGTCTGTGCACTCCTTGCTGCATTGTGCTACGTGTACAGCATTGTTCAGCCCGTGTTTTTTGTTGTTTATCCTCAGGTGAACCAGTATTTGAGTGTTGCTTGGTTTAAAGTTTACTGGTATGTTGTGTTTGGAGAAAATCCCTCTAAGTTTCTAAGACACATCAGCTACATTTACAACAACAATGTTGTTCTGCCTGTTCTTTTTTTTTTTCTTTATTGAAACCCAAAGCCTCTTGGGTGAGAGTTGATATATCTTCAAGAACCACAGGGAAGTTAGTCAGATTAATCTGTATTATAATAAACACTGTAGGGTCTTAACCCTAATATTTAAATCAGGGTTAAGATCCTACAGTAAGTATATTCACCTAATAAATAACACCATAGGGCTGGAACTTTTATACCTGAAGTAAATCACTCTTAAGTTCCTCAGACACACCAGCTACATACAGAATGACAATGTTTTTCTTCCTGTTCTTGTTTTCTTCTCTGTTAAAGTTTCTTGGATGATAGTTAAAATATATTCAAGAACCTAAAAAAGTCCAGTTGCTTTTTACCCAAGCATTCAGGATTACGCTAAAAGCCATACATTTCAGGACCTGGATGACTCTGTGTCTATACATATATGTTGTGGGTTCTTAACTTTAACATTTAAGTTAGTCTAGTTAATTTATATTATATGTAATATTTTAGGATCTTCAACTTTATATTTAAATTAGTCAAGTAAACTTCTTATACTGTGGTGGGATCTGGACCTTAATATTTAAACTTATTAGGTAAATCATTCCAAGTTCCTCAGATACACCAGCTACATACAGAATGACAATGTTGCTCTTCCTGTTCTTGTTATCTTCTCTGTTGAAGCCTGGAGCGTCTTAGGTGAGAGCTAAAATGTCTTCAAGAACCAAAAAGAGAAGCTGAAGCTCTGAATGACCTCGATGACTGAGAATCTACACAAATATTGAAGGATCTTAACCTTAATATTTAAACTAGTCACGTTAATTTGCCATATTTGAATTACTCAGGTAAGTTCACTTAATACATTACACTGAAGGGTCTTAATCTTAATATTTAAACTTGTTAGATAAATTCCAAACGCAAATCTAACTTCTCTCATGGAAGGTACTTTGAAAAGCTGTTGTTTTAATGCGTCTTGACTTACCTAATGGCACTTCAACAGAGAAATAGTCTGCAGTCCCACCAGACAGACACGTTTTTGCACGAGATCTGTAACTTATTCACTTTTCTCCACATTCTTATTCCTCCTCCGTCCATTCAAGACAAAGGAAAACAGAAGCCGCTGCATACCTGACTCTGTATCTTCTTCTCATCTCCCTGGGCTTCAGACGTCCTCTCATTAGCCTCAGTGGAGTATTTGACAGCCGGGTCTGCGGACAGAGTCTTGTCCTCGCCCAGCTCCACAACACTTCCATGTCCACCACCAACGGCTCTCTTCAGCTTGTCACAGCCGCAGCCTGCCGCTCCCTCCGGGGCTGAGGGCTGCTCCTGCTCGGCCCCACATGCACCCTGTAGACACACCACTTCACTGGCACATCCTAAGAAGAAAACTAAGGCGAAATAACGCGCCATTCTCCGCTCATGTTGTTGACGTGCTTACTTCCGCAAAGTCACATGGTCGGTCAGCTGGCCGCGCGCAGCGAAGTTTAACCATTTCCTGCACGAGTTTGTTGCATTTCTATTAATGCGCAGGAAGAAACTGCATATTATGCTTATGAATATGCATCTGTTAGTTGTTTTAGTGGACATAAATCACTAACTTGAAAGTATTACTTGCTCAACCAAAAACCCAAATGATTTTTTTTTCTCACCCCTCACCACACTGCCTAACTGCAGACCCCGCAGTGGGAGTGATAGTTCCTTAGTGGTAGGATGGGACCACATGGACATCATTTCCCAGCTATCAACACTACGGTCGCTTGAGAAGAAGAAGAAGAAGAAGTGGCAGGGAGCCAGGCAGCTCAGCCAGCCAGTGCCTGCCTCAGTGAGCAGAGCCGCGGAGCAGCGACAGTCGCGGAGAGGTGCTCAGAGAGCCGTCAAAAAAAAAAAAAAAAGGGCTGGATTATCGCGGTCTCTGTCGGCTGGATCTCACCCTCAGCCCGGCGGAGAGGAGAGCCGCAGTCATGTTGTCTTAGCTGGATCCGAACGAAAGCTGAACATCTCAAGGTAAAGTTGAGCGCACAACTTGAGTAGCCACAGGCTGCCATCCCACTCTTCCGAGCTGTATCTTCTCATAGAAAGAGATTTAGTGTCCTTACATGGTTAACTCCGACACACAGCGCGTGGTTGGCTATTCTCGACCAAAAAGAAGAAAAAAAAAAAAACACACATACAAGCAAGACTAGTGATTATTTCCAACGAAGCACTGAGAATCTCGGGTTAAACACTGGACGTGTTTTCTCAAGTTGTGTATCTGTGGTTAAATAAACAAATCCAGTGAGGATGATCTTGTTGCTGTGTACAATCTCTGCCCACTTTGTCATGTTATGTAGGTATTTTTAGGGCTTAGGGCTGTCAAACTGTTTATTTGTTGGGATTCACTGCTTCACAAACAGCAGTGGAAGCCAGAACTGGCAGTGCTTCACATATCAGCCTCGGTGGCGGTGACCTGTTGCAGGTGCATAAACCTTCCTGGTAGCTGCAGCTCCTCCTCATTTACACCAAACTGGTTCCAGTGACAGGCAGCAAGCAGGGAATTTGCCTGTCCAGCCGCTTCTATGCAAATCTGTGCAGCCGCACAGTGGATTCTGTTCACCTCACAGGGAACCCTCTCCTCCTGCCACCTCAATGTGAACTCAGTGAATTTATGTGAGTGGATGTCATATCTGCAGAGGAAAACTCACAAAGGAATGCTCAGTCCATACGCAGTGTTGCATTGCTGAGGCAGATCATTGTCACAAATGTCAGCCAGGTGACTTCTATGGTGTTAAGCACAACACTTTAGGCTTTTTACCTGACTTTATTCTCGTTTTCCTCCTCTCTAGGTGCTCCCTAGTTTGTGTCAAACATGTCGGATAAGATGTCCAGCTTCCTACACATTGGGGACATCTGCTCCCTGTATGCAGAGGGATCTACCAATGGTTTCATCAGCACCCTGGGGTACGTACCGCTCACTGGCTGCACATTATGTATGTGTGAGAACCCACTTCACACTTTTCTCTATGCAACTGAGCAATATTGGAACATATAGTCTTCATAATTCACTTGCGTGCGACACAGGCGTCAGGTTCCATCAGTCGCAAAATGTGATGAGGTAGCTAAGCAGTTGCAGTTTATCCCACAGAACAAGTCCGTGAGAACAGTGGGAAGCATTTGAAGGGGGCACTCTATCCGCCACTGACCCCACCACTGATAGCGCTGGGAGAAAAGGAAATGTAGGGGCGGCAAATGCACAGTTAATGATAAAGTTTGTGTTTTGTGAGAGTGTGGGGCAGGAGTGGACGTGAAGGGTAGAGTGATGAGAAAAACACGGTGAGATGCTGCTCTGTGTGGTACTTCATGCTAATGGTAAAAAAAAAAAAAACCTTATTTACAAGCCACTCGTCCACCTACACAGTCACAGGAATATTGCGTTGTTTTCGTCCATCAGTTCTAATTCACATACATAACACAACGGAGCTGGTGCTGATTTTCTAGATGTAGGATGGATATTCATCAGCGCTCCGCCTGCGGGGATGGCAGAATGGCCGAGTGCTTGATACACTGGCCTTAATCATATCACAAAACATTAATAATTCACATTTAACCTTTCTTCCTTTGTTTTGAATGTATATCAGGCCATAACAAGAAGTTTGCATTAATGTATTACCGGTATAAACCACAGGGTGGGTAACAGAAGGTGAATTCTTTGTGTTTAGCAGTAGTAACGGTATCAGGGCTGTCAGCTCAGTGTCCTGGACCCCCCCCCCCCCTCCAGCTCATGAAAAATGGAATGACCCACAGCAAAGACTGAGTCACTATAGAGACATTGTGGCCTTTTCTCGAGTTCAGGCTCTTCCCACATAGACACACACACACACACACACACATGCTAGAAGCACACTTATTTACGAAATTGTCAGGGCAGTTTTTGGCCAGGAGCCATCTTCTCCACGCACAAACACCAACTCAGCAGCATTCTCCAGATCATCAGCCCTTCGAGGAAGAAGACACCACACTGAGAGGAGAGAAAACTCTTTGAACATCACAAGTTCTCCACTCGAGCAGCATTCCAGGCTCCTGTTTTGTAGCTTGAGAGAGGCCGCTGTGAGCAAATCAAAGGTTAAAAATGCTAAAAATGCTGCTTTGTGTGCGAGCCTTCAGCAGGACTCGTGCTGTTTGTACAGAGGTGTAACTATTAAACTCCTGTTAATGACTGACCGCTCTGAGAGAGATGTTGATGTAACTTGCATCATCCACACATGACACAGATGACCGCATACTCGTCCTATATGATATCTTCTTTCACACATTCATTTTTTTTCCCAAGTCTAGAGCCTTGTTCTTTGAGGTGTACAGGCAGGAGGAGTAGCCCAGTCTGTTTGGACAACTGCAGACATTCTGCTGGAAAAGGCCTGAAATGGATGTGGGATTTGGCCCGTGTCCAGACAAGTGTTATTCTAAGCCAGTAAAAGCTAAATTTGTCACCAGAAATTCCAGTCTGCTCACTGGTCATCTAATCCAGAATATTTTCTTGTTTTATTGTGGAGGGGGAGGGGAAACATGCTGTAACCTTGTAATTCTTAGTTTTGCCCATTTCTCTGTTTGACACACTCCCAAATCAGTTTACAAGCCAAACAAAGTTACAGTTGTATAGTTTTGCTTATTTTTCTGCTAAAAAGCTGTCTGACTGTTGTTTGATTTTAGTATCAAAACAGTATGAAACATCAATTTTGACGATTTATAAAGTCGCTTATCATGCAAATATGTTGAACCTTTTCGACTTCCAGCCCTTAAAATTCTCTGATCACTGCTTTCTTTAACCCTCTGAGCCCCAAAAATTACTAGCAGCTTTGAAAGGCATGTTTTCTTTTTAAAAAAATCACCAAAGTGACTCCATTTATAAGAGCCAGGATCTGTAAAAACAGAAAGAATTGTTACATTCTCAACTTGCTGATGGTCCTGGAACATATCACATGTGATGTACAGTTCCACCATAAAAAAACCAAAACCAAACCCAAACCAAAGTAAAGCTAAAACTTGTGATTTTAATTTTCATCAAAATCTCATTCTGTCATTGTTAATTACCTGATCCTGTAAACCCCCCAAAGAACTGCAATCCTCAGCGCAACTTAGAAGCCATGATATGCCACATTTACAGAGTTTTTAGATGAAGTGCAGGCTGTGTTTACAAAGAACAGAGAGGAGATGACAAGAGAGACTGAAAGGGAAATAAAACATACCCGATCAATAAGATAAATGGATTAAAACAAAAAAGGTGTACAGAGAAGCAGGTTGTTAGTAAGTTTTTGGAAAATACATTCAGCATGGTGAAATGTCATTCTAGACTTAAAGTGCAGAGTAAAGAGCGCTTAGTTTGTAGAAGGTGTAAAAATTAAGATTAAAATTTAAAAACAGTGCAGAAATGATTAAATTGGGGTGCATCTAACAACTTATTATTAAATTATCTATTTATTCTTTTCCATATTAATTGATTAATTGTTTGTAAATGTCTATAAATATAATCAAACCTTGAAAAACTCCAAGGTTGTTTTGTCTAACAGACCAAACCGTAAATAAATTCAATTTACTACCACCAAAGACTAAAACAACATACAATATTTCCATTTGACAAACTGTAACCCCGGAACTTTTAGCAATTTTGCACAAGACTTCCAGGCTGATTTTATTGTACTGCATCTCAGTGGATTTTAATTGTACAGTCAGTACCATTAGTTTTGCTCTGAACACATGACAGGTAGTGGTTTCATCATCATATCGTCATTAAACAAACAAAAACACAGACATCTCCTGCATTAAACTCAACCTGCCTGGTTAGCGAGTTTGTGTGTGTCTCTGTTGTACCATATAATTTCTAATGTTGCGTCCATGTTTGCAGTTTGGTGGATGACCGCTGCGTGGTCCAGCCCGATGCTGGAGACCTCAACAACCCTCCGAAGAAGTTCCGAGGTAAGAGGCGCAGAGCGGGCTCTCCTCTTCCTCCTGACATCATAACATTAACTGCTGCCTGTTTATACTGCGGATTGTGAGAGAGACGCTGCTGAATGTGTTATGCTGTGTTTCTTTGGTGACAGCCACAATATCTCAACCCTCTGGACTTCAAACAGGCCTGCCTTTGTCAGTGTTAATGGCGTGTGTGTGTGTCTGTGTGTGTTAATGCATCCCTGCATGTTTTTGTTAGCTGCTTGCTCGCACATGTCTGTGGAGGTAGAGGCAGATGGAGAGAATCAGCTCTGATGATGATTTGTTGTAAAACAACACACTTGGGAAAGCTGCTTTTTAAATTAAAGCCTTGAGCTGTTTCTTTGGGTGAACTCGCTATTATTAGCCCCCATACAGGATGTAGAACTCATGACCCTCAGTTCTCAGGCTGGAGGTTTGTGTCCCAGGGGAGAGGCCAGGCTCTATATTGTACACAGACTATGAGTGTATTGAAGGCCTCCAAGCTTTTACTGATAATGCAAGAAATATAAGAAAACAGTGCTTTTGCTTGCTGCTGCTGCTGCTGAGTAAGTGTTTGACTGAAAAATGCAACCTAACTG